CATGTGCAGAAGCATTGTACACTAGCGCACACAGGCAGCACGCCCGAACCGGTAGTAAAATTATTTGCAAACCATTACTGATTCATGGGGTGTACAGCCATACGAGAACTTCTAAGATGATGACATGAGCTATTCCACACTCTATCAAAGTGTGAAGAAATTGGCTGCACATTTAATGCAAACTTGTACAATGCGGGAGGCAATTATCTAGTAATAATGATTAACTGATTGTTTTACATCACAATGATCCCTCTGATAGTTAACAGCTGAATTAAAACATCAACAATAAACCAACAAATATCGCCAAGATAAAAATGAAAACTACATCAAAACAATAAAGCAGAGGAACCAATATTTGCACTATTCTGAATTTTGCAGTGACTGTTTTAAACTGTGCCTATAAAAATCTGCACATTACAGAATATGCATATGCATATACTGTACATATATACTTACATACATACACACACACACACAAACATGTGTGTGTGTGTGTATGTTTGTAGATTTTCACGGGTGTAGGTATGCTGGTCTTGTTGTATTTGGGTCATTTCCTGTGTAAGATTGATATATAATCGGAGCTGCCGTCTTTCTATAAATCTTGGTGGGTGGGTGTGGAGTGTTGTCTTTGTTTCAGTAAGTGGAATGATTGGTTGTGTGGTTGTATCATGATTGGTAGTTTGCTGCTAATTGGTGCTGGCTGTGTGTCTATTGTTGTTTTGTGTTGTAATGGCCTGGGTGGTGGGTGGGGCTCGTTTGTTGACTAGGGCTGGTTTCCAGATGTCTGGTAGGCAGGAGGTATCGCCACGTTTATTCATCTTGTGGGGGTGTTTCTCTATTTCGATAGCTTCCATAATTATTCTCTTGTTGAAGTGTTCTGCTTTGGAGATTAACCTGGTTCCTTCAAAATTAATTTCATGTCCTGTAGTTTTAAGGTGCTGGAAAAGGGAGGAAGTTTTTTCTTTTTTTCTTACTGCGTTCTTGTGTTCTGCAATGTGTGCATTTATTCTCCTATTTGTTTGTCCTATGTATGTGGCAGGGCAGATTTTGCATGGTATTTCGTAGACTCCTTGGTTTTCTAGTTTAATTTTGCCTTTGGGGTTTCTTAAGATGTTGGCTATTTTTTGGTCAGTGTTGAAGGCTGTCTTGATATTGTGTTTGTGGAGAATTTTGCTGATTTTATCTGTGGTGCCTTTAATATAAGGGAGGAGGGCGATGCCGTAGTCTTGTTCTGTGTCTTGGTTCTTCGGGGGAGTCTCCCTTTGGGTTAGGTTGGTAATTGTTTTTCTTTGGAATCCTTTGGCAATTAATACACTCTCACAAACATATTAATCTCCAATGGATTCGAAAGAAAAACAATTACCAACCTAACCCAAAGGGAGACTCCCCCCAAGAACCAAGACACAGAACAAGACTACGGCATCACCCTCCTCCCTTACATCAAAGGCACCACAGATAAAATCAGCAAAATTCTCCACAAACACAATATCAAGACAGCCTTCAACACTGACCAAAAAATGGAAAAGACCTGAATACAACAAGACCACCACACAGACAGACAGACAGACAGACAGACACAAACACACACACACACACACACAAACACACACACACACACACACACACATATATAAACACATACATACATACATATAATGCTATATATAATATGTATGCATATCAATATGCATATTATTAAAAACAGTATAAAGTACAGTATTACTTCCAAAACAGGGAGGACAGCATTTATTCTGAATGAATTCAAATAATACACATCCTGTTTGAATCTGGTGGCTGCTTTCACAAAACACATTACCATTATAATAATTTATACCTTAATATCTTTGTGTGATATGTGAACCCAGTCACTATAGTTCACAAGATACGGTTTATGATTTAACTGTGTGCATGAATCAATTTTCTTTTATTCAGTGACCATGATTAAACAATCCCCCCTGGATCCAGACCTCCAATTTTCATCTGCGTCTTCATTTTTTTCAAAACCCATACAAATGGAAACCTCATCTAACATCCTGCTTTTTTTCTTTTCCTGCCTCTTTGGCTAAATTCTTAGCTCGGCGCTATATCTGCTTCCTGACCTCTTAGCGTTTACAAGGTCTGTACACTGTAGGCTTAGACTGTTTTACAAGATCTATTTTATTGCCAAAGTGATCTTGTAAAGACCATTTATTTACACGTACAGAAGGACCTGAAAAGGCAGCTGTGCAAAAACAAACAGAATCCTATTGCTTCAGGGCACCATCTGATTTCCAGTAAGAATCAAACAGAAATACATTTAAGGGAAGAGAGGGGATGGCTAAAGTATATATTTTTTAAAAAACGATTTTCTTCATTTCTCTGAAAAGTATAGCTCTGCAGTTCTCTCCCATCCCACCTGTAATGACCTGGGACAAGGCACCAAGGTCACACAGCTATCTGAGAGTTCAACCTCCCCTTTAATGCTTCAAATTTCCCCCCAAATACTTCTGCATTTTTGGCAAGTCCCAGAGCAAAGGGCGCACACACCACAGTCTTGCTGCCCACAATCCAGCAAAACAAAGGAACAATGAGTCCATGCAACAAGGAACAAACAAGGAGTCCATGAAACAAGGAACAAACAAAGTCAAGAACAAGGCACTGAGTCCACAAAGGAAGGAAGAAACAACCTGTCCTGCAAATTCCAAATATCTGTAGCAGCACACCAAGCTCTATCAATCCCGACAAACACCCCTCCCCACAGCATCTCCTTGAATCTCAGTTCCCAGGTATGCCTTGTGAAGAGGGGCGGGGCAAACTCCTCCTGAGTCATTGGGTTGGCCTGTGCTGCTCCCATCTTATCTTTACTCTCTGTGCTCGGGGATCAGGAGGGGGTGATCCTGGCTCATCACCTGAGCTCTGTTGCTCCTTATGTCCACTGCTTGCCCTCTATCGGTCATCTTGCCCCCATTCCTCCCTGCTAATAAGCTATCCCAATCCTCCGGAGCCCTGGGCTGCTCCTCCCCACATTCTTCTGACACCAATGAAGCCACCCCCTTGATCTCTGTTGTCTCTGGCTCATCCTCCACAGATTCAGGCTACGACGGGGGCATGACACTACCTTTTCAAACAAGTTCTGGCTTCAGATGGGCCCGGGTCCTGCAAATGAACTTTTGGAAGGGTATACACATTGATAAGTACTCCTGCCCAAGATAAAGTGGCTTGTATTAAACAGTAGCATCTTTGGAAGCAAGCTTACGTTGATTGCTTTATTCTTTTTGGAGGCTGCTGGAATATGTTCTGAGTCCCAACTTTTATCCTTGACCACAGAGGAAGAAGGATCTAATCAAAGAAACTTTGCATAAAGCATGTACAGGGAGCAGGGTGCTTGTAGATGATAGCTGATGATGATTGCGGTGTGACTGAACCTAGCTATCAAATGAGAAGTAATTTACTTTTCACATTAGGAAGACTGGCAGCCAAGTGAGCTCAAAAGAACTGTTCACGAGCTCTTAGTCACAGGCAGCTGAGCTTCATCTTTCCCAATCTTTGGCAAGTAAGAAAAATGATAAATCTAAGTCCCTATGGCCTGATCTATAGATATAAACATATTGTCTAGGGAGGGGCGGGGAGATTTGAAATGGATTTCTGCTCCCAAGGTCATTAATTTTAAAGCTGCAATGTGAAGTTCAGGTCATGAAAAGCTTTGCTTTAAGGCAAAAGCTCTGATATGATGATTCTGAGTTATCTGTAAGACTAAATTATTAAGAACATGTTTTTGCCCTGGGCAAAGATAGCTGAAATGAATAAAACTATACGTATCTCATATCAAACAAGGGCATGTTTGCCAATATATATATGTGGCAGAAAGAGAAAGAATACCACTTTGCTGTTGTTTCTTTTGTATTTTTATCTTTAATCACAGTATGTGATGTTCAATACAAACTTGTCTTTCCATATCTTTAATGGAAGCTAAATTATGTTCCATCTACATATGGTTTTTGGTTCATTGTTTATAAGTTATGAACATTTTGTCTATAAATATCAAGTTCACCAATACTTAGGACATCTTTTCAATTTGAAATAAACATAATTTTACCTCGAAGCTAAAAAATTCTTATTTCTGCTGAACTCAATGTTTAATCAGTGAATTTGAAAGGATTTAATTTTGACTGGATTATGCCTCTAGAAATCTGAAGAAGGAATTATTCTGGATTGATAGCAATTCTGTGGAAAAAATAACAATCTGAAATCTTATAAATTATTGCAATCCAGGAAAAAGTTACTCCCTTTTCCCTTATTTTACAGGTCATATTCTGATGTAAGATTTATGATTTAAGATTTATGACTAATATTTGGTTGCCAGAATATTTTATTAGGTTTTTTTTTTAAATGCTTCCAGTCTTTGAACTCTATTAAGTTTATATTATATTTTCCAAGGAGGGCAATTAATTACTAGGGAGCTAAGTACCAATGCAGTGGAAAAAGTTATAATTAAATTGACCCTACTCATTATTGGCACAATCATTTCATATTATCAAAAGAAAAGATGGAGTGCTGATTAAAGAACCAAGAATTAAAACCTTTTCATTCTTGTAAAAGATAACAAACTAAAACGAGTGGAATAAAGTTCAGAATAATCCTGTTGAATCACCCCAATTGTCTATTTGAATGTTTTTGTTCTTCAAGAAACCTAGCAAAGCAGGATTATGAGCACATATGAACACAANATAATTATTGTTGTTACCTGCTATTTAACTGTTATATTAAAGCTGTTGGGAAAAGCCATATATTCTTTCATTATGATAGGGTAATGTAATTATGCTAATGAAACCCAAATATACAGCTCTTGAGCAAGGTGCCAACAGTACACTGCCTTGCCCTTCCAGGGACTGGATCTCCAGGGTTAGCCCCCCTCCCCCCTGGCTGATTTGACCTAAAATTCAGCAGAGATCCAAAACAAAGATGGGGGGAGTGCTGAATTCTTGACCCGTATTAGTGCAGCAGCCCTCCGAGGCTTCTTCCTATTGGATGGAGCAGGAGGCAGAGTCGCCAAAGCAACAGGAGCATGGTGAGTTTGAAATGGGCTTCGGGAGGATCAGATCAAGATCCTCGTCGTCAGGGATCTCATCCAGGTGGTAGCCATCCTGCAGCAACTGCCAGCTGAGATCCTGGTTGACCTCGGCCAAGGAGTAACCAGAGGAATATCTCGATTCCAGGTCATCGCTGTCAGAATCAAGAGCCACCAAAGTTTCATCGGAGGTGTGGCTCAGCGTCGTGTAGTCCTTGTTGAATTTCACCGTCCTCACAGCTCCCAGTTTGGGCTGTTGCCGGACTGCTCCTGAAAGCACTCCCTTCTTCCGTAACATTGCCTTCGCCATCTCTTTCATAGCTTATCCTGAATAGATGATTTGTTCATAATGTAGGGACCTCTTTTGAATGGAGAAAAATATAGATGAAAAGTAAATCCTAACAAGATTGAATTACCATTTGTCTAAAAATAATTTACTTCCATTTCTTTGTTCCAGTGCTAATTCTGGAGGGTGTAGGCCTTTCCCAAAATATCAGGTTTGAAACTTGGAGATCCTCCTTGATTTATGGCTTCTGCTGGACAAGAAGATTGAGATCACAGCTAGCAGGTTGGAGCCATGACTGTACTCTTTCCCAGACAAGTAGATCCTGGCAACATGATCATGCCCTTGGCATTTCCTGGTTAGATAAGTACAATATGTTCTGCATGGAACAAACTTTGAGATCTATTTGGAAGCTACGTAGGTCCAGAATGTAGCAGTCTGCTTGGTGGTGGGTTGCTATTTACTTTTATTTGAAAGAGCCATAGTGGCACAGTTGTTAGAATGCAGTATTGCAGGCTAATTCTGCCGACTGCCAGCAGTTCAATCCTGATCGACTTAGGGTAGACTCGCCCTTCCATCCTTCCAGGATTGGTGAAATGAGGACCCAAATTGTTGAAGGAAATATGCTGACATTTGTAAGCCATTTAGAGGGGGTTGTAAAACACTATGAAGCAGTACATTGCTATTGTTACTAAATAATACTTTTTATAACACTAATGTTGCCAGCTGTGCATTTGGTGACAACAGGCTTCTGGGTACAATTCAAAGTTCTGTTTTTGATCTTTAAAGCTTTCCATGCCATCTTGTACCCTCAGGACCATATTCTTCAAGTAGATCGTACTCATTCAGTGTATACATCTCAGGTTGGGAAGCTGAAGTTCTTCTTGTATGTGACAAAAAGTTGGAACCAGAAATATCTTGTTCCTCAGTAATGACTCCCATCCAGATGGAACACACTGCCATCTGAAATACACCTGGCTTCATTACTCTTGACATTTAGAAAAACCCTAAAAGTTGACTTATTCAGAAAATCAGTTATTGACTTAACAGTCCCTTTAATGACCATATTATTACTTTTATTTTTGGGTGTAATTTAGGAAAGGTTTGACCAATTATTTCTCTATCATTCTGTTTTTGTAAGATTATCTGATCGCTTAAAAAGCTTATCTCATTTGTTGACATTCTTGATTGAAATGTTTTATTTGACCTTTCTTGCTTGAAAAAGATTTTCTTCAGTTTGCATTCAGTCAGCATCTATTCTTCTTGGAGCCCAAGATTTCACCTTTGTATTTCCATAGCTATTGTGATAGCCTGTTCACAAAGATCTTTTCTTCTCTCAAACTTTAGGGTTTTGTTATTTTTTCCTCCTTAGTTTTTCACAATATCTCTCTTATCACCTTCTGTAAGTCTACAGGTTGTTTTTCACGTAGGTTAAGTGTGAATCTATTCTTTATATTTATCTTATATTCTAGCTGAAGACACACCAACTCTACTTAGTTTTCATAAGTTTAACCTGGATGTTTGACCCAAAAAATCATGGTGTATTTGACAATCTGTACCTTAAAATATCCTGGTTGAGTAGATTCCACTTCTCCAACTTCTGTATTGTCTATCCAGTGATGTTAAGCTGCAGAAGTTCACTTCTATGGTGCTTGAGGCAATGAACAAATTCTCTTCACAAAACTCAAGTTTCAATTGAACAGACATTGTGACAATTGACAGACTAACATTGATATGATTAGTTAGTTTGGATAATGAAATGTCTGCAAGAAAACAACCAAGTTAAGAGTGCACCATGGACCCTTCTAAGCTTTGAAGTTTCCAACTGGATTTTTCAGTGTCTTTCAGCTTTACAACATGCCCTGCTATGCATTTGCGTAACACTGGTTACCAAGTAGCCACCTATTGTAAGAGCTATGGTCACATCGTTCATTGAACTATACCCAAACTTAAACTTTGCATCTCCTTTTTTAGGGTCATGTCTGCTTCAGTTCTATACAGGTTGTCAATACCTGAATTCAACCATCAGTAAAATAGTCAACTTACTAGGTTTCATTTCTGCTTTCACAGTTTAGAGTTCTTATTTCATGCTTCTCACAATGTTTCTTATATGTATGTGTCCTTACAAAATAAGGAAGTCTTCCTTTACATTTGGCACATCAGGCACCAGAGTTCCTTGAACTTTGGCCTAGCCATGCCCTCATGTCCACATCTATTCATAAAAGTTCAGCATTCTTTTCCAGCAAAATCATGGCACTCATCATTTGGTACCCACAGCATACACAGGGAAGAGAGGGTTAGGGGTAAAGGTCAAATCAAAACATGACCTGTCATAGCGTCTCTCCAATTGGAATTGAAGCTCTACCCCTTTGTTCATTTATAGATGTTAAAAAGGAGGTGGCTGCCATCATAGTGCAGATACTTATCTCTGGCTCTAAATAGTGCAGCCATTACCATTCAGTTTTCTTGCCAACAGGACAGAATTGTTTTGCCACCACATTCTTGAGATTTTGATTCTGGAGTTCCTTCTCCTACATGGATTGATTTCCTTCCCAATCCCAATTTCGGACTACTTTTAATTCATCCATCCCCTTTTGACTTAACTGTCAAGTATGACTCTACCAAAAGCTCCCTTACAAACAGTGTTCTGTGGGTTACTGAAGCTGTTAGATTGAATTTATATTTAGCTTTGTTTGGGAAACATAATTGTGCAATAGTTCAGTAATATGTGCCTTGACCTCTATCTTCTTGTTCTAGAGTAAGTATGCATGTTAGTCTTTTTTTTTAAGGCCATGCATTCTTATTTCACATGATATGCATTTCATTCATTCAATTTATAATTTATATTTTTATGCCAAAGGTTAACATCTGTTGGGATTTTCTAATTTGGCTTCCTGCATTGAGGAGGAGGCAATGGCTTAACAGTCTTTCAAACTCTAAAATTCTAGGAAACGTAAGTATAAAAAGCCTGCACTTAGGAAATGTATGCAACAAAGCTCGTGATTTAGAAAAAATATAGTTTTAAAAAATGATTGCTCGGGGAGCTTACATTAAAAATTATTCACAAGAGAAATGGTGTTCAACAGCTCCATACATTAGGGAAAACTGAAAACCAACATGGATGTGGTGTTTTTTAGAATGGATTTTTTTTTTTAAAAAAAAGTGAAAATGGAATTGCCTGTCTCACAGAGATAATCAATGACTGAATTAATATCTTTCCACAGATCCTTTATTTAATGCAAAAAAGAGTTTTATTTAAGATCAAAACAGAATATGTGAATTAACAAACACCCCAAGAACACCCTCTTTAAATTAGGGGTGTCCAATCTTGGCAGTGTTAAGACTTGCAGACTTCAACTCCTAGAATTCATGGCTTGCTGGGGAATTCTGGGAATTGAAGACCATGGGTCTTAAAGTTGCCAAGTTTGCACACCGCTGCTTTAATCCTTTGAGCTGACCAACATATATATTGTGCTGTGCAAAATTACTTAGGCAGACATAAGCTTCAGTCTGTTCAACAGTATTTACACACTTTGGCTTTGTAATGCAGGAGCAGATTATAAAGATGTTTGAAACTATTATTTCTTATCCCTAAAAATGTAATTATTGATAAGTTTATATTTTTAAACTTGCACATGCAGCACGAAACTTGCTCCTGTGGCAAAATTTGACTTTCTTCAAAATATTGACACTTTAATGAGAACCAGATCTAGAGAACACAATGCAGTGCAATAAATCATTTGATGCCTTTTTATTGTTTAGCTTAGAGAAGACAAAGGCAAGATTTGCCTGGAATCAAGTAAATAGGATTTAGCCAGTAAAAATTCACCTTGTCTCTATATTGTCCTAGTCCTAGGAGAGACAATCTCATTTACATTTATTAGAAGTAATGATGTAGTGTCCTGTAGATAATTAACACAATAAAATGCTGCTAATTTCACAGTGTCATTATAAAATTTGCCAGTTTAAATTAGAAAGTGATTAACCCTCCGAGTGAGGCAATGACATTTTCATTTCCCAGCCTGTGAATTAAATTTGCTTGGAGTCTTTTCATCCCCCCCCCTGAAAAAAATATTCAGTTTTATAGCCCCTGTCAATGTCCTTTAATTTTATATGTTCTCCAACAATAAGGGGCGATGGGAAGGAAAACGGAATCCCAGCTGTAGGATCAAAATCCGTGACTATTTCAGATATTAAATCAGATTCTTATTAAGTGTGTACACCTTGGTTATCAGAGAATAGGGGCATGAATTTAGAGGACAGAATTACGATTCAAGATAGCTCAGGTTCCTGAGACAATGAACTTTTTCTTGGTGCATTATTGGGCAGGAGGTTTTTCCTATTAATGTGGGTCTCCCAAGGTGAATATCCTTAAGGACAGCAAATCTCTAACCTTCCAAGTTGGTCACTGCTTTATCCATTTACTATATCCATCTCTCCCCTAGCCAATTTTAATTAACACCTTTAAAAATGGGAATAAACTCATTAAAAAGGTAGATTGATTGCATAGTAATTTAAAGACTCTAACTCAAGTAAAATCCTTTTCAAGAATGTTTAATGAGGGAATGATACCACAAAAGCTTAAGGTAATGATAGAATGGGACAAACTGTTAAACTAGCTATTAATTTAATACCACTAATGCATCGATTTACAATGCTGCTAAAACTATTCTTAATCACTCTTCTCCAGTCTCCTGTTTCGCAATTACAGGGTTGTTGGTGCACAAATTTGGCATTCCAGGATAATTACGGCAATGAATGACTCCATGCATAGCCGGTATTTAGTCTGTGGTACATTGATCATATTGTTTAATCCAGCCCTGAGACTCAACACACAGAGAATGAAAGGTCATTCTCTAAACAGAAAATAAAGTAGATTATAATAGTGTTTGCATGATGCGATTGGCTAATGCTACCATTCCCTTGATTAATTCATGCATCACCGTGCATAGTAGTCAACCTGGGACTAGCAAATTTCTGGCTATTATAAGTAGATTAGCCATCAGAAAAGAAGCTGGATGGCTGGCATATTGTGC